ACGATTAAGACACATCGAGAGAATGAAAGGGGAGAACTCACCCACGAAAATGTAAACAAAAGAGCATAGCATGATGAAAAAGACGCCGAACTTGACGAAAACAAAATTTTATCGTCTAATGTTCATATTATTATTAAAGAGGAAAGATCAAAAGTATTTTTGGGGTATTTTTTACATTTTTTAATCGTTCCAAGCACGTCTGAAATTTTCGTTAAAATATTGTTTTTTTTGGTCAAAAAAAGGGGCAGATAATCATTTTCAATCACTTTTTCGATTTGATAAAAAGATTAAAATCTTACTTTGATATTCTTTTTAAAAGTCAATTATCATTTTTTCAAAACTGATTTTAATAAAAACAGATATTATACTGTTTATTTAAAATATTTTGAACCAAGCTTAACTTAGCTTCTGCGCCGAAAAAATGTAATTTAAAAATAAAACAAAGCAGGTCATAACCTTTCGCGTCGCTTGACGAAAGGCACATTCATGAAGTTTAGATAATTTACGGGAGGATAATTCTTTCTACGGATGGAAGGAAGTGAAATTATTTAAGTGAACAAATTATTTACCTCGTTACTTTTAAGGAAAACTTTCAGCGCTCTAATTTTTTATTTATTTTTTTTTTTTTTTGTACTTAGCTTTCATTTTTACGTTTACGATGCTTTATGGAAAATATAAAGAAATTAAAAAATAAGACTGTTAATAGTGAGATTAAATTTCATAAGAAAAAGGTATCTAATTAATTTAGGTACCTTTCTTATGAAATTTTATCAGAAGTGTACATAAAATACTTTAATTTTATGTACATTTATTACATTTTACTGTGTTATTTGTATTTCCATTCATTTTATTATTAATTTTGTTTGATATTTCATTTATGGAAAAATGTCATAGCTGAGATTAATATAAAAATAAGATCATATAAATTAAAGTTTAGCAGTAGTTAAATTTCATAAGATGATACTGTTACTTGTAGGTACCCTTCTCAGTTGAAATTGAAAATTCAAATTAACTTCTCCATACGTGTTTCGCAAAAGTAAAGGGCTTAACAGCGGAGAACAATGCTGAACTCAAATAATGCAACTAAATTGTATTCTGGTTGGTCTTCCGTACTTGATAATTACTGTCCGACTATAAACACAAAAATTACACTTCTTAATTACCATGGCTAATCTGATTGGTCCAAATTATACAATTTTCAAAGCGCACGGACATTTTGAAAGGTTGATGTTGCTTTTAACTAATGTTAAAATATTTTTAAAAATTCAATTTAAAAAATTTTTTTAAATCTTTTTAAAATAAAGAAATAAGAAATAATTGTATTAAAATTCAATTTTCATTGAAAAATTTTTACTTTCAGAAAATATTGTCCATATTCATAAAACAAATTAAAAACAAATAAAAGCATTTGAAACTAAATAATATATTTGTTTTATTGAGTTTTTGTATGTTACAATTCACAGCTGATTTTCAGGTACGTTGGCCAAAAAAAAAAAAAAAAAAAAAAAACATTATTTGCATTCTTCAAAGCCTTGTGCTTTTAACTATTGTAATCACTAAAACCGATGGTCTCGAATTTCTAGAGTTTTTCATAAAATTAGTTATGGGGGTGTTAATAAATATAAAAAAATATTTCTGCCATGAATTTAATAAAAAAAAAAAATATTTATAATAATTTCGATCATCTGTGAATAGTTTCTGAAAGTTTCATTAACATCTGACAATTATTTTATTTTTGCAAGATTTTCCAAATTAATGTGTAAATACAAAAAATGCGCTAAAGATTATCTGTTATTTACTACACCTTGTTGCGACAAAGAGAAACAAGGTTTTTAAATCAAAATTTAGAATATTCTAAAAAGATGGAAAAATTTTTAAAAATAATTAAAAAAAAATTTAGTCTATTCTCTTCATAAAAAACATAAGCATTTTGACGATAAAATTTTGTTTTCCTAAACTTTGGCATCTTTTTTCATCAGACTATGCTCTATGTTTTAGCGATTCCGTGGAGTGACTCAGGTTAAAAACCCAGGTTGTGTGTGTGTGTGTGTGTGTGTGTGTGTGTGTGTGTGTTCCTTTATATATGGGATCGGATTTTTACATTTTCAGCCGATAAAACACACATCCACTTTTTTTTTTCGGCAGGTAGTATTTCTTATTGTCTTGCACACTTTTTCTTTTTGTTTACATTCAGAATGCTTTAAAAATTCCATTTACAAGACAATTGTTTATAATAAAATTCTATTCACCAATCGATAGACTCATAATGATTGTAAACAATGTTTTTGTTTGAATTTGGGTTTGACCAATTCGTAAAAAAAAAAAAAAAAAAATAATTAAGACATGCGTATCCGTCAACCTTAAACAATAATCTTTGTCAATTTTATTTTTCAGTCTTTATGATGGTCGATACTTGATCTATCTCTTACTGTTACATCCCCGGGCAACGCCGGGCTCTACTGCTAGTAATAAATATACGTTTTGTTTCTCACTGCTTGGTATAACTTTATAATGTTCAGCAAGAGGCAATGTTCAGGTGCGTATAAATTTTAACTCTGTGATTATACATTGAGCAATGTTTTTTTACGATCAACACACTGTGCGGTATTTTGCGCGCGTGCGCGCACAAACACACACACATATATCTTTTGAACAATAAAAAATATTAAAAATTAAAATTTTCAGACCCACTAGGTTGTATATTAATATATTTTTATTTTATTATTTCAGTTAAGTTCCTCGACTAGTTTCGGCCAGCATGGCCATCATCAGGAGAAAAAAATCCTGCTTGTTAGTAGCTGTGAACTACAGGAATGAATGACTTTCTGAAGAAAATGAAATTTATCTGTAGTTTCCATTTGTTTTTTTATTGTTATCTTTGGTCAGTCCTTGTGTTGGTCAAACGGCCTCTTTTATGTTGTTTTTAAGATAGTGACTGGATATATTCATGCGACTATGAATTCCCTTGGCCATTTTGATCATTTTATTGGTTCCTGAGAAGGGTATGTCCTTATGGTAAGTGTATGTTATAATTTAGTTCTTCGGGAGTGTGTATGATGTGTGTAAGTGTATAGATTAGTATGGGTGTGTGTATAAGTGTGAGACCTCAAAGTTCCAGCAAGCATGTCTGTCTTATGTGGGTGAGAAATGTAGTAGGGCTTGATTTATGTGGTTATATATTAATTCTATCTATGTTGTTAAATTTGTGGTTAATTTAATATATATAATTTAGTATATATATATATATATATATATATATATATATATATATATATATATCCCCCTGCTATCCTATAACTTTATAAGTTCCAGATTAAAGCAGAAACTGGAACACTGCTGCCAATCTCGATAGAGTCCAAAACTGTATACGCGTCCTTGTGGGTGATGAATTATTTTACACCCTGTAACCTATTTACCACAGGCGAAACGATGCCAGTCTCTTGCAATAATCGAATACGTACAATATCACCACAATTAAATAAATAAATATATAAGTGATGTTTTGCAAATTCTTACTCGCTTAAAATTCAAGATTCATGTAATTCAACAGATGTTTATTTACTCAGATGCCGTGTTAGCCATTGCAGAAATGCTAGCTTATATGAAGACATCTTTTCTGTCCGGATGAGTGCGGACCCAATTCGGTACAAGGCCATTAATGTATGTATCTCGTGTGCATTCCCGGTCAAAGACGTACGCACAGAAGCTCACGTAGTCATTCAAATGAACGTTATCTGGTTCAACCATAATTTAGACGACGGAACTGAAAGTGACGCCAATTTTCCTCCTTTTTTTTACGATTTATGTTATTTTTACGTCTTATTGATATTTTTTTTCTTTTGATTCATTGATAAAAATGAAAGTTTCCATTCAGAAATAAGTTAAATGGAAGGAACAAAGAGGGGGGAGAGAAAACGAAGGGCCTTCAAGGTGGGGGGAGTAGAGGGAGAACATTACAAATACGATGGCGAAAAAGAAGTGAGATGGTGGAAGACGAGGGCCGAGGAGAAGCGCCATTAACTGGAAAGATGAAATTAATGAAAAAGAGAATGAAAGAAAATGCAACAACAAAGATAGAAGGGGGAAAGTTGAAGTAAGAAGAAAAAAAAGAAAAGAAACATTGTTGAAAGAAAGAAAGAAAGAAAGAAAAAGAATAAGAAAGAAAGAGAAAGAAAGAAAAGAAAATAAGAAAGAAAGAAAAAAGAATAAGAAAGAAAGAAAGAAAGAAACAAACAAACAAAAAGAAAGAAAGAAAGAAAAAGAAAGAAAACAGAATAAGAAAGAAAGAAAGAAAAAGAATAAGAAAGAAAGAAAGAAAGAAAGAAAAAGAAAAAAGAAAGAAAAAGAAAGAAAGAAAAAGAAACAAAATAGAATAAGAAAGAAAGAAAGAAAGAAAGAAAAAAGAATAAGAACGAAAGAAAGAAAGAAAGAAAGAAAGAAAGAAAAAGAAAACAGAATAAGAAAGAAAGAAAGAAAGAAAAAGAATAAGAAAGAAAGAAAGAAAGAAAGAAAAAGAAAAAAAGAAAGAAAAAGAAAGAAAGAAAAAGAAACAAAATAGAATAAGAAAGAAAGAAAGAAAAAAGAATAAGAACGAAAGAAAGAAAGAAAAAAGAATAAGAAAGAAAGAAAGAAAGAAAGAAAAAAAAGAATAAGAAAGAAAGAAAAAGAATAAGAAAGAAAGAAAGAAAGAAAAAGAAAGAAGAAAGAAAGAAAAAGGAAAGAAAGACGTCGTTAAATTTTGAGGTTAAGTGGTAATGGAAAAAGCAAAGGAAACATGCAAGTTAGTGTCATTCAGGTTTCAATGACGTTATTATCAGTTTAGGTAATTGACTATACTTCTACGCGTACATCCTTCAGCTCTTGTTCGGGCAGCTGAATAAACAGAGCTGGTGGTCACAGCAAGACAAGGGGGCTCTTGTATCGGTGCTGAGATAGAAGCAAAAAAAGAAAAAAGAAAAAAAAAAAGCTAACACACTCCCTCGCTTTTTCCAAGAAAAAAAATGAACGAAGTTGTGGTCGATCGCTGCAGTAACTTGCAGTCCCACACAGCCAAAAACGATAACGAGGCTGCGATCGTAACCTTTCCCGCGGTAGCCGACATTGTCTACGCTAATGTTTCTCAACCCATCAATCGCGACCCAAATTGGTATTGCAATAATTTTTTTTTTTTTTTGTCAAATTATTTTACATGTTTTTTTAAGCAAAGGAGATTATATTCACGGCAAGGCGAAAATTAATCCGAAAATGAAGCCTATTAAAAGTAAAAAGTTAGCATTCAATTTTTTAACGCAACCATATTAAATTAAATTTTTTCCTCTCATTAGGACTCTATTTTAAGCATGAAATAAGGCTGAAACGTGAGAAATTGCTAAAAGCATGAAATAAGGTTGAAACTTGAGAAATTGTTAAAAGCCTGAAATAAAGCTGAAACTTGATAAATTGTTAAAAGCATGAAATAAGGCTGAAACTTGAGAAAATTGCTAAATCCATGAAATAAGGCTGAAACTTCAGAAATTCTTAAAAGCATGAAATAAAGCTGAAACTTGAGAAATTGCTAAAAGCATGAAATAAGGCTGAAACTTGAGAAATAATGTCAATCGACATCTCCAGTTGCCTTGATCTATCCACTACCCTCATCCTTTCTTCTATCACTCCTATCTGATCTTGCTCTAAACTTTCTGTAACCCCTTGCGTCCTAGTGGCTTGCTTGGGGTGAAATGCTTAAAAAAAAAAAAATTGTTAAAAGCATTAGATCAGGCTGAAACTTGAGAAATTGTTAAAAGCATGAAATAAGGCTGAAACTTGAGAAACTGCTAAAACCAAGAAATAAGGCTGAAACCTTGAGAAATTGCTAAACGTAACCAAACTCAGCTAAAATAACCTGATGCTAAAATAATGGAAAAAAAAACTGCGCCGGAAAAACTTTTTGCTGGAGTGAATCTTGTTTCAGTTCTCTCAGATATTTTAGACCACACACACACACACACACACACACACACACATATAAATATAGCAGAATTGACTCTGTTTGCGTCATTTAAAAATGAACTGATTGATGGATTAACTTGTTTTACGGCTTATCAAGATTTTTGGGGTTATTTAAAGCCTAAACATATTTTTAATTCTGTAAAACTAATCCTTTTTGGTGAATGAATATTGCATTAACAATTTTGAGGATAAATAGAAATTATATAACACTAATTTTTACAGTTACAGCCAGCATCAAGATAAGTTTTATTAAGCTTTTCCTTCAGAATCGATCGTAGGATTTTTCCAATGTGAATTTAAGCGCAGTACTCAATTGGCGGCAAGATCTCATCATTTTACGTTTATGGAATTCTCTTCGGACCACTTTGCTTTCCAGTCAATTTTCTTCTTCAAAAATTCAAATGCTATGTTAATCATTACCTTCTGTCTTCTTAATTCTTGTTCTTTTATTGTTCTCTCTCCTTAATAGTGCTCTTTTTTTCATATTCTCTAACAATTAGCAACCCCTTGCGTCTTAGAGGCTTTATTGCCTTGCTTACGGCGTAATGATTAACAACCGTAGAGTAATATATCGTAAACATATAATACTAAAGGCCGATTTCTTTTATGAACTTAAAAATCTTTAAAACGGCGGTTCTTCATTTTTGGAGTAGGCGTTGATGGATTTCTTATACAGAGTCGGCTTATTACCACCACCACTCACCATTCTCTAGCCAGAGTGCCGCCCCACGAAGTTTGGCTTGACCTTCTGCAATTTGTTTTTCGGAATATGGTCTACAATTGTTGCTATTTGTTATTGGTTGGACCCAAGTCAGTATATATTTAAGCAAATTTTAGAACGATCTATGACAAAGGGGAAAAAATTTTTGGATCGATGCGTTTCATTCTTTAGAACTTAATCAGACTAAAGTGATGTGATTACACTCGTACATGAAAGAGACTGGACGCTGAAAGTTTAAATTATTTTTTAAAATATGTGCTTGGGTCTAAAATGAATCCATCTCTTTTTTCACCGGGTTCTATATGTGGCAACCGGTCTAGGAGAAAGACAATGCAGAATTCAAAACCTCCAACAGGTTACACAGCTGAAGAACTCGTCAGTCAGAGAAAGGTTTCTCCAAGGAGTGAGAAGACCTTGGTTCTGTTCTAATGACCTGGTCAATCATAGGAGGATTCCTCCGAGGAGTGAGAAGACCCTGGTTCTGTTCTAATGACCTGGTGTTACTTTTAAGGAGTTAGAAGACCCTGGGTTTGTTCGAATGAATTTTCATCCCTCCTCTCCATCATGCACATATGTAGTTGCAATAATGTAAACATCACCTAAGTTCAATTAGGTCCTAAAAGATGGAACACATCAACAGAAAACTTTTTCTAATATGTTTTGGGTGTACAGTCTGGCTGATTTAATTTAGTTTCTTTCTGTTTATGTTTTTTTATCTCTTTTCTTATTAAATATACGACATTGTGTTAAAAAAAAAAAGGTCAAATGATGTAATGTTTCTAATCAATTTTATAATTTTCCGCTTCTGGTAAATTGCACAATTTCCAATCTTCGTGAATTAAGATTCTTACTTTTATCTTGAAAATCAGTGCAGATGTCTTTCTGTATCCATAGGGATTGGATTCAAGGACCCACTTGGAATACCTAAAACACTCTTATATAAAATGGCGTAATATATGCATATAACCTAAGATTATCCTATGTGTATTTTCAAAGGATTTTAGATCACATAATAATATAATGCCAAAGAAGAATCAGCAATATTATTGAACCTGATCTGGCACTTCACTTTCCCACTGCCGTAAGGTTGCCTCTCTGTGTCTTTTCTATAAATAATTTCATAGTAATTATTCGGATTAATTCTTCACTATGGTATCTAGACTTTTTTAATTTAAGCGCAGTATTAGACTGGCGTCGAGATCTCATCAATTTACAATCGAGCTGGATAGACGTAGACGTAAGTTCTATGCTAACAGTTTCTTTTCTCGCACTTCTCGCTTGTGGAACTCCCTTCCGGTTCCATCCTTTCTAGCCAACTTTAATCTGCAAAAATTTAAATGCAATGTCAATCACTATCTACTGTCCATCAGATTACTTTTTCCTCTTTCCGTTCATTATTAATGTTTTTGTTCTTAATTATTCAACACACTGTAACCGCTTGTGTCTTAGTGACTTTACTTCCTTGTATGGGGTGATACTGATAAAAATACCTAATAAAACAATTCAGTTGTCATATAAATACTACATAAATAATTTATAATATGTAATATAATGCAAACGCCATATAAATAACATACAATACCTAATGCAATGACTCAAACGCCATATAAATCCTTTATATCAAATGCATAATACAATCCAAATGCTATATAAATCACTTATGATACAGAAATCACCTATGACTAAAAAATTACTGTTTCATTCTGATGGCCGGCCTTTGTACTATAGAGCCAATGATAGATAAACTTATAACAGTGTTAGCGTTAGGGTTAGGGGTAGCTGTGAGATTTGATCTCTCTTCAAAAAGGCCAACGTTTGAACAGAATATCAACCAGCGTCACTAAAAATCTCCATTTAACTACGAGAATTGGGATCTTTCTACGAGAAGCGACGATTGATAACTTTGTTACATTTACCTACGTTTTATCTTTTTATTAGATTAGATTTGAGTGCGAATAATCGAGTCACATGCTAATATCCTTGAGTAATGTATGAATTCTTTTCATCTTCACCTCGGGTCCTATAGGTGGCAACCGGTCCAGGAGAAGGAAAACTGTGAATTTAAAACTCTGACGGCTACCCCCCCCCCAAAGACATGGTCAATTAGAGAGGGGTTCCTCCAGTTAGTGAGATGACACTGGATACGTTCTAATGAGCTTTCATCCATTTTGTTCTTTGCATTTACCTTGTCAAAATCGAGAACGACAATACACCTTGACAGACTCAAGAGCGACATTTACCTTGACAAACTCGAGAGCGACCTTCACCTTGGAATTAGACGCAGTATTAAGAGGAGAACTGATGATATTTTAGTAAATCATTCATTGTACGAAGTGTGAGTGTCAGAAATTGTCTAAATATAAATCGTGAAACTAATTTGAGAAAGCAGTTTTCAAGCTTTTCATTGCGAATGGCACACCGAATTATGGTTTATTGCATAAACGGCCTATCTGTTGTTTTTCTCTTCAGTCTTGTTTACGGATGAGGCAACTTTTCAAAGAGATGGAATAACAAATTTATACAACTAACATTGATTTCTTTAACGCCCTCTTGAACGTATCAAAAAACGTTCAGCCTAAACCCTTTGATCTTGGATGTTATAGCGACGTTCTTATATGTTTAACTGCATAATATTTTCAAAAGTTTTGAATGTTAGACGAAGTAAATTACGTACCATTATCACATACTATAGTATCTGGAGTCTAAATGTCGAAAACCTTCATGAACAAAATTGATAGTTACAATGGAACTACGTGTAAATATTTCAGGCCATTTTGAAAATCTATCGGCAACAATCAAGTAATACGCACCATCCAAAGGTCTCGTGTTGTCAACATCCAACCTAGACCAAGGTTTATCAGTATTAGTCTGGGGTTGATGATTTTGCCACTGGAGCACAAATTCTGCATGAAAAGTAAGCGAAAATACCACGATTTGAAAAATTTACAAAAATTTAATTAATTCAATCTTTTTCTCTGAGATGAGATATTATGATTACTTGCATTCTTTACATTATTCAGACTGTTATCCTCATCTTCATTGCCATATTCAGAACGTGTCAGCCTCTATATCTCTGAGATGAGGTATTATGATTACTTGCATTATTTACATTATTCAGACTGTTATCCTCATCTTCATTGCCATATTTACAACGTGTCAGCCTCTATATCTCTGAGATGAGGTATTACGATTATTCGCATTATTTACATTATTCGGACTGTTATCCTCATCTTCATTGTTATATTCACAATGTTTCGGCCGTTGTACGCTCCGGCCTTCTTCGGGTGTCCCTAAGGGCACATGACCCAGTGGATAAAGGCGTTGGTTAGATCCAGTGACTAGACCCAAAGAGTTGTGAGTTCAACACCAGGCCACAGCAGTGGTGAACCAAAACTTGTAGAGTTGAGTTAAAGAGGGAATAACTGAGGCATCTAGAAGAGGCATGGCACGTGGAACTAGAACAATCTACCCGGGTGGACGAAATAAAGGGTTCGGTTCAATGACCTGAAGAAGGCCGGAGCGTACAACAGCCGAAACGTTGTGAATAGGGCAACGAAGATGAGGATAACAGTCCGAATGATGTAAATAATTCAAGTAATTCTATTTTATGAAAGAGTTCTGTATCTATTTAATAAAGGAGAATCAAAATATTTAAAAAGAAGTTTCTATTCCAAATTTGGGAGATAAGAAAAAACAAAAACAAATTGTGCGCACAACCCAGTCATCGAACGAAGAAAACGTGAGGCGAACAATGGTCAAACAACGAGGTCTGGAAGAGAAACTGGGGACCTGTAAAATGGAGCAGAGCTTGCATTCTTTCGTACAAGTCGATTCGATGTGGACCTCGGCGGATGACCAATTCAGGTTTTGTGTTGTGGAACTGTAAAACTTTATTTATATCTTCTATTGCAGTTGGTGGAATATATGTGCATAAGATGGGCCAACTGCACCCAAAACCATGGCATTTACATGGGATTGAACACTGACCAGCATACAAAAATATTTACCATCCAGCAGTTTCCAAACGTTAGGATGATTGATGTAATTTAAGTGAATGAATGTAATATAAAAAAAAATTCGTTGAAAGTTCACAGCTGCTTTTATGACAAAATCTTTTATGACAAAAGTTTCTTTCTTTTCAGTCTTCTTTGCTTGCTTTTTGTTTGTTTTGTTTAGCTATCGTTTTCCACTACTTCGTTTGTGAAAACTTCAATTACATTTTTTAAACTATTATCTCTTAAATCATTTTAAATAATTCTTCGCTTTTCTTGCTTTCATTATAACGTTTTTGCCACTAAAACATTCCGGTTCTCATCTGTCGTCTGACGCTTCTGATAATGTCAGGGATTTTAATACCGTCAGCTATTCTCATTTCTTTTCGTCACATTACTCTCATGTTTGACCCAGCATCCTTCTGTAGAACCACATTTCAATTGCTTCAAGTCTCTTCTTCATTTTTGAGGAGATTGTCCAGCATTCATTGTTATATATGAGACTGATATTACCTAAAAGTTCAGTACTCTTTTCTTTTTTTCTAACACAATTTTTCTGTTGCTTAGCTTCTTGTAAAGGCACATTTCGATCTACCAAGGCGCCTTCAGATTTCCCGTGTCGCACTTTCCGTCCTCTGTTAAAAAACTTCCCAGATATTTAAATTGTTTTTTTTTTTTTTGTTTTTTTTTATAATCTAGTATAAATTAGGCCTATGTATATCTAATTTGACTCCAGCGTAACCCGGACCTATGTCTCCCTTTTTTGACGCTAGCGTAAATTGGGCCTATGTCTACCTTTTTTGACGCTAGCGTATACTGGGACTATGTCTAACGATTTTTTTTACGCTAGCGTAAATTGTGTCTACCTTTTTGACGCTAACATAAATTGGGCTTGCGTCTAACTTTTTTGGTGCTAGCGTAAATTGGGCCTATGTGTACCTTTTTGACGCTACTGTAATGTAAAACTATGTCTACCTTATTTGATGCCAGTGTAAACTTGACCTTTGGCTATTTATTAGACGCAAGTGTAAACCGAACTTAGGTCTTCCTTATTGGCGCTAGTGTAAACTGGACTTATGTCTATCTTTTATTTACGGTGGTGTTTTTTTTAACTTACGTGTAAAACGGGGTTATATGTACGTCTTTCAATCTAACATAGACCGCATCTATGTCTACCTTGTTTTACTCTTGTGTCAATCGGACCGATGTCTATTCTTTCATTAATTGATAGTGATTTTGTCCTATAGGACATGTTCGACCCAGCAATGGTTGATATGGTCTGAATTTTAGCAGCGTTAACCATTTCATTTCGTTCTCCATCTCCAAATTTCACATTCTGTTTTCTCTCTCTCTCTCTCTCTCTCTCTCTCAGCACTTACTAAGCATAATTTCGTTTAAGCCATAGTGACAACAAATATAATCTACTCTACGAGAAACAATGTCTCTTCTGTAGTAATCTATATAATACTAAAGGTCCGTGAATCGTGCTTTCGTTGGGCGCATAATGATTTAAGTTTCTTCTCCTTTTCCACCTCTTTTTTTCATCTCTCTCTTTCCCCCCTCTCTCTCTCTTTCACCCCCCTCTTTCCATCTCTCTCTCTATATACTCTTCTCTCTTTCCACCTCGCCCTTTCCACCTCTCTGTCTTTCCACCTCGCTCTTTCCATCTCTCTCTTTCCACCTCGCTCTTTCCATTTCTCTCTCTCTCTCTCTCCACATTTCTCTTTCCACCTCTAGCTTTCCATCTCTCTCTCTCTCTCTCTCTTTCCACTTCGCCCTTTCCACCGCTCTGTCTTTCCAATTCGTTCTTTCCATTTCTCTCTCTTTCTACCTCCCTGTTTCCATCTTTCTCTCTTTCCACGTCTCTCTTTCCACATCTCTCTTTCCACCTCTCTGTGACTGCGTGATTTCAGCTTACTTTAAACAGACAATATTTCAAATATTCAAAAATATTTTTGCCATATTCAAAAAATATTTTCAAGCGAATATGAATTTAAAATATTTTTTGGCATATTAAAAAAATACTTTTAAGTCAATCTGATTTCAAAATACGAGTTGTTTATACAGTAAGTATTTCTATTTCAACTTTCTTCAAACTGATAATTTTTTAATGCTGACATCAACTTCAATGTTTTATAACCTGAACCGTCTTTGACCCAACGGGTCACGAGTAGTCTAATCATACTTATAAAAACCAGGTTGTGTGTGTGTGTGTGTGTGTGTGTGTGTGTGTGTGTGTGTGTGTTCGTTTATATATTGGATCGGATTTCCTACATTTTTCAACCGATTTCAACAAAACTTTACAAGACTACGTAAAGTTACCTTGCGGTGGTTCTGACAGCACCAAAAATGGGAAAAACACAATTGTTTTTGCATGAAATCAATTTGAAAACACGATTAAGAGGCATCACTGTCGCCAGAATGAAAGAGGGACAACTCATATCGAGTTATACTTATTATAAAACCCAGGTTGTGTGTGTGCGTCTGTGTTCGTTTATATATGGGATTGGATTTCCTACATTTTTCAACCGATTTCAACAAAACTTCACTTTTTTTTTGGCAGGTAGTGTTTCTTATCGTCTTGCACATTTTTTTCTTTATTTTTATATTCAGAATGCTTTAAAAATTCCATTTACAAGACAATTGTTTATAATAAAATTCTATTCAATCAGTAGACTCATAACGATTGAAAACAATGTTTTTGTTTGAGTTTGACCAATTCGTAACCCCCCCCCAAAAAAAACTAATTAAGACATGCGTATCCGTCAACCTTAAACAATAATCTTTGTCAATTTTATTTTTCAGTCTTTATGATGGTGGATACTTGATCTATCTCTTATTGTTACATCCCCGGGCAACACCGGGCTATTCTGCTAGTGATTTATAAGATTAACTTGTTAACCATTGCTCTGAACATAAGACGAAGATTGACCTTATCTGGCAAGACTCGAAATTATGGGTTGCTTAGCATGTTTACAACAATCTCGTTAAATATTGTTCGACCACGTGATATAGGTTTTTTCTTGTGATATCTCGCTAATTTTTATCTCTCAAACTGCCTTTATTATACTGTCATGAATGGACATCTTTTCCTGAGTCTACATCAATCCGAGAACTTAACCAACAATCCATAGTAAATAATAAACTTTGTATCGTTTAAGAGAGTCGCTTTCTTCTAAAAGGATGATAATGTCTGGACAGGCTGTTATAAGGAATGTTAAAGAACTGGAATCCGAGAACAGTGGGTGCATAAAAATCAATATTAACTGTCCCCGTCGTTGCCAGCCATCATTTGCAGAAAGACTGGGCAAGCGATAAAGAGGCACTGATCAGACATTGAAGGATTGCTTGAAGGATCGGGCCATCTCTTTGGAATCCTAGCTAATTGGTTCCATGTGAAGGCATTGAATTATGGGCGGTTATCTTTGCTCACCTGACACTCTTCAATTCTTTAATTCTGTACAAGAATCGGAACATTTCTGTAACGGGGAATATTCCTGATATTGTTAGGCTGTATATATATATATATATATATATATATATATATATATGAAGAAAAATAGAGAAAAAACTAACAAAAATTTTAACATGCAATTATGCTGTATTAATGTTAATATAAAGTCGACGTCGGACGTTTCGGTCTATTTAAGACCATCTTCATGGACATTTTCATTTAAACATAATTAACATTAGAACATATAAAAATTTAACACAAAAGACGTTGGACATAAGAGCACAACTAATCCAAACAGATAACTGAAATTTTTAAATAAGATCAGCGTTCCGTTTAAATATGATCACGTCGTCGTCACGTGGGCGATGTTGTGAAAACGTATTCGAAGATGATTTCCAAATATTAAAATATTAAAAAAGTCGATTGAACTATTTTAACAGTTCAAGAAATCCCTTCTGTTGAATGTAGGAATACGTAGAGATTAATAGGTTCTTATATCTTCATACAAGCTTGAAGTCCTCCGCTTTACAAAGCAAATCAAAAATGATTCAAAAAAACGATGGAACAGTTCTAAAAACAGTTCTGATAATAATTCCTTTCCTTATTTGATCAATAGATTCATATATTTTCCTCCAAGCTTGAAGTCTTCCATGTTATAAAGTAAATTCAGGTTTGTATTTCCAGTAGACAGTATGTGAGCAAATATATGGATATAAATCCGACAGTATGAAGAAAAATACAGAAAAAACAAACAAAAATTTTAACATGCAATTATGCTGTATTAATGTATTTTTCTTCATTTATTCGAAAACTATAACATAAATATGTTATAAAATCACTACAAAAATAGTCATTTTGTTTCAACACTTCTGGTGTCTTATCAAGTGATGGTGTTGAATCACGTGATAAGACACGAGAAGTGTTTAAAAAATGATAATTTTGTAGTGATTTTATAAATAATTATACATTCATATATATATATATATATATATATATATATATATATATATATATATATATATCACACCAAGCATGGCGGGAGTGTCACTAGCGAGCAAGGGGTTACAGAGAGTGAGAGCAAAGAGTAAAGAGGCGTGTTAGAGGAAAGGGCGAAGAGAAGGGCGGGGAACAGATCAAGGCATCTGAAGATGTCGATTGACATTGCATTTGAATAGTTGGAGATTATAGCTATCAGGGAAGCAAGCAAGAGGAAGGGAAGTGTGAGACATGAAGCTATTGGAGTAGAAGAGACGGTTATATTTAACCGTTTCGTCAGTGAAAGGGTGGGACCGAGATGCCAACCTAGCAGCACATTTAAATTCATGAAGTTTGGGAACCAGTGAAAGTAACTCGTCGGAGCAGATACCGTGAAAGTATTTGTAGAAAAGTTGTCCAATATTTGGATGTCGAATTTAATCTGTAAACCGGCAGCGTCTCTCCTTACATAAAACCCAACACAAAACTGAAGTATGTGAATGCTAGATCCAACCATCCTGCAAGTGTAATTTAGCACACCCTTAAAGGAATAGAGTGCAGGTTAACCAAAATTTCTTGTGGAACCATTTTTGAAGAAAAAAAGTTCGTGTACGAAAAAGCCCTGAAAGAGGCGAGACACAAGATCGAAATTTCAATTCATGCCTCAAATAAATCAATAAATGAGGAATGAAAGAAGAAAAAGACATTATTTGGTTTAACACCCCCCCGTCAAATTTACAGGTGAAACATATTTTGCTTGATAAGCATTTCTCTAAGAGTTCTGTGATACACAAGAGGTTCAATAGAAACTCAGTTAAGTTACAGCTGTCCTAGCAAATTGGGTACCACAATGAAAAGACAAAATGCCGAGAATTTCAAGATTACCGTGCAGCAAAGTATGGTGGATAACAAGAACTGTAACTGCAGAGAAAAAAAAAGTGTCCACTGGATGGTGTTTGTAAAACGGAATGAGTGGTTTACAAAGCAGAAGTGAAGGACAAAAATGGCTAGAGCAAGATATATGTGGTATGTGCTAAAGATACCTTCAAAAAGAGATTGTGGAACTGTACGTCCACACACACACACATATATACCCACACATCCTCCCATATGCTCACATATGTTAAATGTCCGCTGATTGGATAGATTCGGACAATCAGGGCAGGGGATAGTGTAACCTTTTTTGCCGCCAAATCGTGGGGTTATTCAAAACACTATAAAAACCTTTTTTTCCCGCGAGGAAGCAGTCAGTTGCGGCCACATCCCATCAAGAAACAGGACATGAATGTTCACAAACTTACCTTCGTCCAACTCCCTCATTCTTACAAACCTAAATGTAAATTTTTAGGAATATAATTCACTTTGATTCATGTCACAGATTGAATACGTGTTCATCTTATTTTTAATTCTTCTCTTGTCCGACGTCAGGAATTTTTATTCTTCCCAAAATAAATAATAGTGGTATTATTCCCCTACAAGATGGTACAAACACAAGTCATAGTTCAGAATAGAAAGCAATAGAAATCGTATCAAACTGACTAGACATGTGTGAGAATTAAAAGAAAGAAATAACAACAAAATCCCTAATATAAGATAAGGTATATTGAGGAGAGCCATGCCTTACATTCATGGTAGTGATGTCTGTAGACTGTGCCAGGAAGAAAAAACTAGCGACAGTAAAGTATTCAGACAAAGAAAAGCTGTTAAATAAAAGGTCTGAGGTCATGTCGGGGTGTAGGCATATTAGAAAGTATATTTTGGATTTATACGAAACTGAATGAGAGTACGACAGATTTTTCTCTCACTCACTCTTCCACCCACTTCCTCATCCTTGCCTCACACCTCCCCTTCTGTAACACTTCCTGTTATGCGAGTATAAAATAAGTCAATAAAGCGTTAGTAAATTAACTAGAATCTATTGCCTGAAGAGACTTTAATGGTTGAAACCATAGTACCAGGTATGTAAGTGATTTCTAACTTTTAATATTTTAATATTTAAAGCTCCGCGCGTTCAATTTATTGGATTTTGTATAGGGTACTTTTTAATACAACCGTCCACCGGTTGGACTGGTTTCCATCATTGTTAACTACCTAATGAGACGTTTTATTAAACGTCGAAACAAAATGTACAATTTTGTTGTGGTTACTTACATGTTCTAATGTAACAGTTTATAATAAATATTTATTGGTCTACTCTTGTATTGAGCCCTGTTTTAAATGTTTTGAATGTTACAATTTCATTCTTCGTTCTTTTACATATATATATATATATATATATATATATATATATACATATGTATATATTTTTACATATATATATATATTTTTTAAAAGAATGCGGATCATCAGACTTTAAAGTAAAGTCTGATGATCCGCAGTTCTTTTAAAAGGGCTGTGGTGAAATAATTTATTACATGGAACCTTTAAGAAGTGGTCTGTTTTTAATTAAATTATTTGCTCTGGATTTACATTGAGCTCTCTGAATTTTATCCTCCTTTGGTTTAGCCATAGGGATTACCTAGTTTTTCATAAACTATATATATATATATATATATATATATATATATATATATATATATATATATATATATGACTCAGGTTATATGTTGAAAGTGCAATCTGATTGGTTGATTATGATCACGTGTTCAAGCATCGTAATTTTTGCATCAAAAGTTAATGATTATATATATATATATATATATATATATATATATATATATATATACTGATATTTGAACTACTTAACAGTTTGGTGTCACTGAATCATGCTACTCCCAATTTTGAAATGAAAATATTATAATCATTAACTTTTTGATGCAAAAATTACTATGCTTGAACACGTAATAATAATCAACCAATCAGATTGCACTTTAAACGTATAACCTAAGTCACATCTTTACATAAAACGGAAAGAATTCTCGATCACCAGTTAGATACGGAATATATGACGGCTTAGCCAGTCACTTGTCTACAAAACATTTTGCTAAATTGTAAATATTTTGCGATAAACATTATATTTTGTTTTCACCATAAACCCTTTAGTAGACTTTTTGAGATTACAAAAGGGCTGGAGATTTGATTCAGCTCAAGAGAATCATGAAAAAAGTACAATATGCTTCGATTTTGCAAAGACATAGCATAGTATACCTTCTTTCTTACGCATAATTGGAAAAAAAAGTTACCTTTCAAAAAGACTAAAATGGGAAACACTCTCCTGCATTATGTCAAAATTACCTTGCGTCAAAAAAAGGAACAAAATTTTGAAAATTATGACTTGGCCGTTTCTGTCTCTTGAATTCTTTCCCATTAAATTAGTATGGTATTTATTGGATAGGAGAGTTCGAAGAGAATACACAAAGAGTAAGAGTGAGCCTTTTAATGATTGAAGAATGCTTAGGAAAGTTTGCCATCTGCGTTTTTTCAAAAACTGTTATAAAGAATGTCAAGAAATTGTAAAGAAGTAATTAAGGCAGGTGCTGGTTTTATTGACGAAAACAAAATATGATTCTGTTGTATAATTCTTTTATAGGTCAGGGCTTAGTTTTTGTCAAAAATTACAAATACAAATTGTTAGGGAAAATTATCTTTTAAGTAACGTTAAGTTTTTGACGATAAACCTTAGTTTTCGTGAAGTTTGGGGCATTTTTTCATCATAGTATTCCATTTTTCGGTAAAATCGTGAACATCTCTAAAAGATGGCTTTTTTTTTTAAGGAAATGTAGGTTGGTCCCAAATATTTTTGTTTCCTGTAGTGTATATATAGATTGTTATAACAAAGAATGTCGTACGCAAAAAATAAAGGTTAATTAGGGTATTTCTGGAAGATAAGTTTTTTAAGGCAAGCAGTTCTTGCAATTAGAGTGTTCTATATCAATATCATATTGTGTGTATTCGAGGGAGAGAGAGAGAACATTAATAGTAATAAATAAAATTAAATGTTCACCTATCTTATCGCTACTCTGAGTTTTAATTGTAAATTGAATTAAATTTGTTTGTACGTGTGGAGGTAATATTCGCAAGGCTCAGAGTGGAGACAAGATAAGTAGACATTTAATTATCATTTAGCAAACTATTTTTTTTTTTTTGGTTCTCCGAACGAAGAACTAAAAATTATTCCACTTTTAGTGCAAGTCCGCTGATGGCTGATGAGGTCATTACAGGAAATGTATTTCCTCTCACAATGGCAGCAGTTTTATAAAATGGGTGGGAAAATAGGCCTTGACTAAGACTCAGCTTTTATAGGCTTGTCTCATCTCCCCCAAAGGCAGATAACATAGAAGAGCGTCTATCGCCATGTTTTTCTCACTGCGGCTTGCGTTGATAACAGCCAACTGTAGGTGCTGAATGTATTGAAGGTCTTTTAAAAAGAATTCTCAAATCTTCTCAGTGGCACTCCTGTCATAATGACCCATGGACAATTGATAAGGATATGATTAATCTATGTATAGACATTCATATTTATTTGGACCATTCCCAAGCTAAACAAAGGATTAAGAAACAGGAAACATTCATTAGAAACAAACTCTACCGAACGCCTACTAATAATCATTCTATGTAGAGATAGGGTTCTACAGGAGGATGCTGAGAATACCATGAATTGAACATGGGACTAACGAGAAAGTTTTATGGAAAAGGAATTTTATTTTAATCATTTCACCTCAAACAAGGAAAGCCACTAAAACGTGTTAAAAAAGAGTGTTAGAGAGTTTTTGAAAAAATTATTCTCTTTTTAACACGAAAAATCTCAAGTTGATGCTGAAAACTGCTGCAAAATATTGTTAATTTAAGATGGAATCATCTCTTATGACATGGCTCGAATTTGTATTTAGATACAGTGTATTTATTTTCAATTTTTTCAGTTAAATTGTTCACCTATAATGCATAGGATCCATTATTGTACATAATTAGGTTTGGTTTGGTTTGGCTTGGCTTGGTTTGGTTTACGATATATCAAACTTAATGGATTATTTAATGCCGACAAGATTTTTATTGCTGGTAATATTTTTTATCTATCTATCTATCTATCTATCTATCTATCTATCTATCTATCTATCTTGCGATTTGGTTTGGTTTGTTTTACAGCATATCAACCTCAATGGGTTATTTAATGCCGACAAGATTTTTATTGTTGGTAATATTTTTGTTGGTAATATTTTTATCTTATCTATCTATCTATCTATCTATCTATCTATCTATCTGGTTTGGTTTGTTTTACAGCATATTAACCTCAATGGGTTATGTAATGCCGACAAGATTTTTATTGCTGGTAATATTTCTTTTTCAAAAATTTATTGCTGGTAATATTTTTTGTACAAAGTATTTCCAGTATTAAAACCTATTTTCACACTTTTATAGTGTTTTGACCCCTTTTGGTGTCTAACTATTTGCCCATAGCTGGGACCCTATCAGGTGCTACCACCCCGGGTCAGGGTGGACCTGGGAACACCAGCAATTAAGAGGTGGTTCCAAGCTCCTCAAAACCTCCTGATCAGAGGCCTTGCTGTTGGACGTAGTTTCTCTTCTTACTCAGGACGCGGATGTAGTTTATCGCCTCACCCAGGACGGCATATTAGGTTGCAATAAAATTTGTATTTTATATAAATAGTACCTTATGAAAACTGAGATGTACTAGAATGTAGGGGGTGGGGAGGGAATATCATAGATTAGAGGGGGGGCACGATATCCTTGCACCGGCCCTAGAAAGAGAAACTTAATATGAGAGAATATTAGAAAAAGAAAGCATTACTAAGAAGAGAGAACAATAAAATAACAGAAATTACGAAAACAGAAGATAATGATTGGCATTGCATTTAAATTTTTGAAGATCAAAGTTGACTCGGGAGCTAGAAGCTGGAAGGAAGTTCCATAAGCTAGAAATGCGAAAGAAGAAACTGCTAGTATAGGACTTACGGTTACATCTAATCATTTCAACTGTAAAATGATGGGACCTAACCACCAATCTAGTACTGCGCTTAAATTCATAAAGTCTAGGTACCATAGAGGAAAGTTCATCAGAACAATTACTATGGAAATATCTGTAGAAAAAGGCATAGTAAGTCTTCTTTAAAAGTTAAACATGTCATGGATCCAGTGGTAAATGCAGTGAATTCAATAAGAGCATGAGAATTGAAACACAAGCAGTTCCGAAGTTTCTTGGAAGATATCGAGGCAGATTTTACTGATGCGTTATACCACACAAATGTCCACTGATTAAACATGGGAAAAGTACTAAAGAGGGCGTGGGAAGTTAAAGCAGAAATTGTCATGTTTTTGTTTTTTTTAATTTGAAAAAAATCTCTTATGATTTTTTAAAGGAAATGGAGACTGACAAATAGGTTTGCGGTTTTGCATTTGCTGTAGGCACGATGCAAAAGCTGAAAGAGTTAATCACAAAACTACAAAGCAAAGGTACATTTGCTCATGAATTGTACATGGAAATGAAAGCCTTTCAAACGAAACTTTTTGTCAATCAGCTTAAAGAGCAAAACTTTGTTCATTTTCTTCTGTTGAAAACACGAACTGTTGCACAAACATTATCAGACAAGTACAGTTTCCAACTGTTGGCTTTAAAAAGAGGAATTTATCAGAAGATTTGCTTATTTCAAGGCAATTGAAAGCCAGTTCGATTTGCTCACCTTTTGCCTGTGACATTGAAACAGTTATTGAAGAATTGCTGGTGGAACTGAATGATTTACAAGCCGACAACACTTTAAAGAGGCTGTTCGAAAATAAACCACTGGTCGAGTTTTATGCTTTTCTGCACTCAGAAAAGTTTATAAATCTGAAAAATTTTACTAGATGTTTGTGTTGTTTGCACCATTTTAAATATGTGAGCAGACTTTCTCCATATTGAAAGTTAATAAGTCAAAGAACAGATCACTTTTCACAGACTCGAATCTTCAGGCAGTGTTGAGGAGCAGCACAAGAAAGTTGACGCCTAATTTTAACAAATTGGTAAATAACTGCAGTCAGATACACCATTCTCATTGAGTCATTGAGATCATTCTGTTGCTGAGTTTTTTTTTTTTTGGCGGGGGTTAAGCGTTTCACCCCAAGCAAGGCGAGAAGCCACTAGGACGCAAGGGGTTACAGAAACATTTCGAGCAAGATCAGATAGGAGTGATAGAAGAAAGGATGAGGAGAAGGGTAGTGGATAGATCAAGGCAACTGGAGATGTCGATTGACATTACATTTGAATAGCTGGAGATTATAGCTCTCAGGGAAACTGAAATAGGGAAGGGAGTTCCACAGGCGAGAGGTGCGAGACATAAAGCTATTGGAGTAGAAGAGACGGCTACATTTATAAGTTTCGACAGTGAAAGTTTGAGAGCGGGATGCCAGCCTCGTAGGGCGCTTGAACTCATGAAGTCTGGAAACCAGCGAATGCAGATCCTCGGAGCAATTGCCATCAAAGTATTTGTAAAACAGACAGAGAGAGGCGACGGCGCATGTGTGAGAAAGTGACTGTAGACGAGATGCCAGAGCAGGGCCAACTTTATTGCATATCCGCCTCTGGAGCCTATCAAGAACCCCGAGGCAAACAGAAGGGGCTCCAGACCATATATGGCATCAATACTCCATACAAGGGCGAATTGTTGATTTGTAGATCTGGCGGATCGATTCCGGGGAGAAAAATTTCCTGGCGCGGCACAGGGAGCCAACTTTCCTTGCGGTGGACGAAGCAATTGACTCAATGTATTTGTTCCATCTCAGGTCAGCCGTCAACGTGAGACCGAGCAGCCGCAGAGAGGTGCTCTCGAGAAGTTGAGCGTCAGACATTCTAATGGAGGGCAGGGAAGGATCTCTGTGGTGATTAATAGAAAGCAGTTTTGTGTTTTTCAAATAAATCTGTTTCATGTGAACATCAAAATATCAATAAAAAATTTTTTTTATTTTATTTTTTCATCAAACAAATGTTTCATGTGAAGCTTATACTTTAAAATCTAAATTAATTTTTTTTCTTTAAATTTAGTTATTTTATATGTTTTATTTGGAGTTTCTACTTTAAAATATTAATTAGTAAGAATTGTTTTTTATTTCTTTTTGCAGGGGTCACTTTGTTTTTCAAATAAATGTTTTCTACCTTATAACATTAACTAATAAAAATATTTTTTTCTTAAAACAAGGTTATTTTGTCTTTCAAATAGGTTTCATGTAAAGCTTCATCTTAAAAATACTTATTAATATTTTTTCGTTAAAGTACTTTAAAGTGAGTTACTTTGTCTTTCAAATAAATGCGTTTCAAGTGAATCTTCTAAAGTACTTTAAAATATTAACTAATAAAAATTAATTGCATTTTTTCATTAAAAGCCCTTTTTCTTGTCTATTTTAATTATTAATTATTTTGGACTAATATACTATACGGCCCTATAAAATTGTGATTTTTTGAATGTGGCCCTTGCACTGAAAAGTTTGTCCACCCCTGATTTAAACGTTCATCATGGCTGGGGAAAACCCGGGTTTCTCTTGATGTTGATGAAACGTTATTAACTTATCTCCATTGTGTGATTGAAAAACAGTTTTTTTTTCTATTAATTTGAATATATACATAGCCAGTGTTTTTATTTTGTTTATAAGTAAATATAAGCCAAGTGGACTCAAAAAATCGAAATTAGTAATGCGCGTGCGACCCGGCAAATTATTATTATTATTATTTTATTTTTTATTTTTTTGCTTTGAGACCTTTTCTATATGATTCATGTTACCATTTTGCCGACGAAACTGAATCGTCTTGTTTAAGTGATATTTAATTCTACAAGAAAGAACTTTATCACCAATAGAAGATTTTGAAAAATGTTTTGTTTTTTTTGTTCTTTTTTTTATCTCAAGGTTTGGGGAAATGTCTCTTCGTTATTTTTAAACACCACCCATTTAAGAATTTAAAAGAATCGTTTGCTTCAAACTTTTGGGCATTTTAATGGTCTGACATATAATATTGCGATTATATACATTACCCGGCCTTTGTGATTCGTTCCAAGAAAACAGTATTGTTTTTTTTTCTTTTGATTAGTTTTTCATCGGTAGATTCTAAACGTTGATTTTTTTGGTATTACATTCTTTGGTTTGTTTTGTTTTACGGGATATTAACACCTCAATAGGTTATTTAATACTGACAAGATTTTTTTAAATAGATTGGTATGAATAGAATATGTATTCTTTGGTTTGGTTTGGTTTGGTTTAATTTGGTTTGGTTTACGGCATATCTACCTCAATGGTTTATTTAATGCCGACAAAATTTTTATGCTGTTAATATTTTTTTTAAAGATTTATTACTGCTAATATTTTTTTCTTCAAAAATGTATTGCTGGTAATAATTTTTCCCAAAAAGTATTGCTGGTATTAAAACTTATTTTTACACTTTCATAGTGTTTTGACCCCTTTTGGTGGTTAACTATTTACTCAAAGCTCGGACCCTAAAAGGTGCTACCACCCTGGATCAGGGGGAACCTAGTAACAACAGCAATTAACAGGTGGTTCCACGATCCTCAAAACCTCCCGACCAGAAGCCTTACTGCTGGATGTAGTTTATCGTCATATCCAGTACGTCATTCTGCTGTGACGTTATGTTGCATTCTGACACTGCAAAATGTCTAGCAGCTTTACAATTATATATATATATATATATATATATATATATATATATATATATATATATATATATATATATATGAAAAATATAGTCTTAAGGTGTGCTATATTTATAGAATACGGTGCTCAATATCAGGGATAGAGCGTGTGTAAATATAAAAGTGAACATAGAAGTCAACACATAGAGGCGACAGTCTGCCTCATGCCAGATGCAATTGTGGCCTGACGATTGCATCTAGCATGAAACAGACTGTCGCCTCTATGTTGACTTCTATATATATATATATATATATATATATATATATATATATATATTTAAAATGAAAAAAATAATAAAAATAAAAAAAAATGTGGTGAATGAGCAAATTGTAATTAATAAATGTGTCACGAATCAGATTAGCAAGGTTGAGGAGAGTCAGTGCCGACCAGTCTCACTCCGATTCCTCTTCGGTCGTGTGCCAAAATTGCATGTATAGTATAGACGTCTATTAGGGCAGCTAGCCAATCCCTGTTGCAGATGCTTGTTCAGATACATTTGTGTTTATTCAACGCTCACAGAGCTCACCTGTGGTTTATACTGCAACTATGCTGAGCAGATTTTATTTACAGTTTCTGG